CTCATGACGAAGGTAAGTGCCCTGTTAGCATCTCTACGGGCAGGACGGGCCCCGCGGGTCGGTAACCGGGAACGTGGGGGAACCGGGAGCAACCCCGGCCGAGGGCATCCCCCATCCCTCCCAACGAAGCGGGAGGGATCTTCGTTTCCTCTCCTTTTATATATAAAATATATGTATATATTAATAGAAGAGGGCTAAGGGATCAAAGCAAAGCAAAACAAACGCGGGAATCACCGCGTGTAGCTCAGATGACTCCGCGTTAACGGAGGCTGCTCCGCTCCCGTTCGCCCCGTCGTTCCTTACCCCTAAATGTGCCCCGATTTAACCGCCTTTCCTATCCCACCGACGTTTTAATTAGGCAATTCATTAGTGAGTCAACACAGACATTTCTATATTCTTTTAGCTCAAGTGGTTAAGCGCTAATTTCGAAATGATCATAAAACACCGGCAATACGCGAGGCACAGTAATTTTAATTTATATGCAAATCGACGCGTCCATTTGAAATGCTTACATTTTTAACAATTATTGTATTGTAGCGCGGAGACGAACGGCCTGAATGAGCAATTTTTGAGACCAGATCCGGACAGGAAGAAAATATTCCAGCAGCCCACCAAATCAATAATGTTTGAGTGTGTTAAACACAGCCGGCTATAGGTATTTACATCCTCCTTTGCTGTCAGATAAAGGAGCTCAGAGAGGTGGGAGGAGAGGCTGGCGAGGGGGGGGAGACAAACGGGAGGGATTGCTGTCGAGGGCTGAGACCGTAATCCGGGGAGGACGGGAGTCAATGGCCCCGAGTCGCCCCATCCCACCGCATTTTGGGAGGAAAACCTGCCTTTTCCGCCCGTCCCGCAGCGTTTTGGCGGCCGGTGGCAGCCCCCGAAGGAGGAGATGCTTGAAAAGCGGCTGGGTGTAGATAACGTTTTAAGCCTTTTTTTGTGGTGGCGGTGGCAATTTTGGTGGGTTTTTGGGTTTGTTTGGGTTTTTTTGCCCCTTCCCTAGGCAGAACCCTCCCCGGCGGGCAGCGGGGAAGTAGCCCCCATCCTCCTCCCACTCGCCCACGCCGAGACCCGGAGGCCGGGGGGAGGGGGGAGAAGCCCCTCCGCGCCAGGTGCCTCCAAACGGATAATCGCGATAGGCGTTTATGAAAAACTGATTTTTTTTTTTCCTTTTTTTTTTTTTTTTCCCCTCCCTTTCCGAGCCGGCCGGGACGGAGGGCTCCCAGCCCCGGCCCGGGCTACCGGGCGGGGGGAGGCCGGGTCCTAGCCCTCCCTCCTCCGTTCCTCGCTCCGACCCACCGGGGAAAAGCTCTTTGGGCTCCTCGGGGTTTTTAAAGCTCTGTGTGTGTGTGTGTGTGTGTGTTGAGGGGGGAGCTAGACTATAAATACAGCCGCCGCGGCCTTTGCTCGCCCTGAAATCTATTATTACATTTATTGCTTTGACAGAAAAGGGAGTGGGGGGGGGTGGCACTCGCTGGGCTTTAAGGTCTCTTCCCACCCAAACCACTTTGTGATTCTATGAGATGCCCTTTTCCAAGCGTCTGGGTTGCCAGGACGAGGCGGATCTCGCTGAGGAGGTGCTGAGTCAGCACATCCAACACCCTCCCCTCCCAGCCGGGGCCGTTCCCCACCTCCGAGACCACTTCCTGAGCAGGCGTTGCCTTTCTAACTGCTGGAGGGGGAACCGGTTGGTGACCCTGGAACCCCCTCTTCCACGGCAGCATGTCTAATGTATTCCCTGGTGATCCTGGGCATTAATTAGTTGTTTAATAGGAGTATGACTAAAAATGTAAAAGAAGGATTAGGACCGTGAAACGTATGTCCAGCTCCTTCCACACACTCGAGGAGGGAATGAAAATCACCCCTGTATCTTATGTTTCTCCAGGATCCATTTGCATTTCCCACCAGCTGCTCACTTCAGGCGCGGAGGCGGGCGCGGAGCCGTTACGCGGCCGCGCTGCCTTACCCCTCGGTCCAAAACGAACCTGTGCGGGGAAAGATGCGCCCCGGAGCAGGCAGTTCGCTTTTTTTTTGTTGGTTTTTTTTTTTTTTTTTTTTT